TCGTAACCTGAATCTAAGTTCGTAAGTCGAGTCCATATATTCCTATGAGAGCGGTTCGTAAGTCGAAACGTTCGTATGTCGAGCCGTTCGTAGGTCGAGACCCCACTGTACTGTATAAATCAGTAGGTTAGAGCTTTTGGCTGCAGAACCAGTGGCTGGGAGTTCAAATCTCCCTTCTGCCACTTAGTAAGAAAATCCAGCCTTCTGACTACTGTATACATATATAACCCTGGAAGGGGTTTCTGTGGGTCAAAATCAACTTGATGGTGCATGTAATTGATATTTATTCACATGGCTATGGCCTAATTATGGCAGTCTCCAGATACGTATGTACTACTTCTGGGACTACTACTCCCATCATCCTTGGACAACATTTTGACCAATGTTAATCTTGTTAATATAAATTGTTGTTTTAACTGTATATGTATATTGTTTTATGAATGATTTTATGTAAGCCGCCCTGAGTAGACTTTGTCTAGAAGGTGCGGGATAAAAATCTAATAATAAATAAATAATAAAATAAACATAATGGGGGTTGTAATCCAACCATTTGGAGAGCATGAGATTGGGCTCATGTGTTTGAATGTGTGTGCTTTTTTCCACTTGTGTCTGTCTTCTCATGGAGGCAAGGAACACTGTTCTTGCCTTACCGTATTTGCCGGTGTATAAAGCGACTGGGTGTCTAAGATGACCCCCGAACATTTCCACTCAAAATGTAGAGTTTGTTATACACTTGCTGTATAAGACTACCCCCTCTTCCACATATGTGATTCTGGTTCCTTTTGCTGGGAGAGAGCGAGGGTTTCCTGGAAGAAGGACAGCATCAGTGCCGAACAGCAGACTGGGAAAGCAGCAGAGAGGCGGCAGCCCTTTTGGAGGGGCAGCAGCCATTTTGAGAGGCAGCAGCCATGTGGTTGCATCTCAAAATGGCTGCCTCCTCTCTGCTGTTCCCGACAGTCAGCTGTTCGGCACTATAGGCAGGCTCTTCCCAGGCTAGGAGCGGGGCTCTACTCGGTCTTACTACCAGGTAAGTGACTTCGCTGGGAGAGAGGGAGGGTTTGCTGGACGTGCACCCGGCGTACAAGACGACCCCCCTTGGATGCATGTTTTTCAGGGCCAAAAAGTCATATTGTACGCCGGCAAATACGGTACTTTCTGTTTGGCCTTTTGCTTACTTTTCCATCTTGATTAACATTAATATTGTCCATTTAAATTATTGTTTTAGCTGTTTATATGCATGATTTTGATGTGAGCCGCCCCGAGCAGATGCAGTCTATAAGGGTGGGATAAAAATCTAATAATAAATAAATAAAATAAAATCCAAAAACGGTGGGAACATCATCTCCAGATTTATCTCTTTTTCCTCCCCACAAAACAAAACAAAGCAAAAACGCACAATAACAACCCATCCACACTTTTGTGTAATTTGTGTGAAATAGGAGGAGGAAGCAAAACCATGCTAATTATATTTCCAAACAGAATTGTTAAAAAGAACTCAAGGCTTGTTGTTGTTGGTTTCTTGTTGAGGTAAAAAAAAGTGTGTTAGGTACTTGACAACAAAATGTGTGTGTTTTCTAATTGGTTTTTGCCAAATCTCAGGGCACTCTTGGTACCATTTAGATTGCTGTTGCTCGTTGTCTCCCTGGAATGCTATTAATTAGTAAACTTTTTAATACAGTAGGAGATGGCTTCTCTCTGTAATTGGTTTTCTCTTAATGGACCTTGAATGGGTTGCCTTTAAGTGCTGACAGTGCTCCAGTAACTAGGTTTAAAAAAAGAAGTGTGTGTGTAGGGAAAATATACAATTTACATGCTCAAACTAGGCTTTGGCTGGAAAATAGGCTTTAAAAGCTCCTACTTGGTATTTTTGTAGATGTTACCTCTGATCAGTGGAGTCTGGTGACTGAAAGAGGGGGCATTTAATGCGCTTCAGGCTTTACTCTGAACTTTACAAGATAGGTCTGTGGTGCTGAACCCTCTCCTCCAAAGAGGTTGAGGAGCTCCAG